ATTAGAGAACGTAAAATCAATGTCCTTTACTTATATCTCTAAGTTCTTGAAACAAATTTAAAATTTTTAGTAAAAAAAAATATTATTTTTTAGTTCAAACTACACATTAAAAATACAATTTAAAAATTAAAATTATCAAACCACCATTAATGGTCAACATAGGGCAAGAATTTTATTAAAGGTATAGTACTTCGATAAATTCATGAACAATATAGACGGGAAAATAAAACATTTTTGTTTGCCAAAATAAACGAAGATAGATCTTTTTCCTATTATGATTAATTGGCCAAAGAACTTGCTGGATTGAATATGAAAACAATATTTTTTTTCTTTTTTTTATATATCTTAATTATACAATAAGAGGTAACCATCTCTCATTCCTCATCTCTTATTCCTTATCTCACCATACTCGCATTGAGTTGATGCGAATTTAGGATCTCTTACTTCCATCAAAAAGAAATGACTACTAAACTATTTAAGTTATTGATATTCTTTTTTTAACAAAAGAAAAAAAAAAGGAAAAGAAAGAGAGAGTGTGTAGAAATATTTTAGAAGTTAAAAACTTGATATTTTAAATATAAATTTTAAAATAAATTTGTAAGAGTTTAAAAAGAGAAAAATTATATTCTGTTGTGCTGTCAATATCATCTAACGTGTATAAAAAAGAGACACACAAAAAAAAGTAAAATGATCTCTTTCATGTGGATAACATGTTTCTTAGCTAGTGTGAACTAAAAAATCTGTGTCTAAAAAGAAATGAAGATGTTGTTTTCAGGTTTTAGTACAAGTTAATGGCCTTGATGACCTTTGCGGACACCGGGTCATATTTGTTGCTTGAAAAGTCACTCACTAATAAATTAACTCAATTTTCTATGTTTACTTTTTAATTAAGCAAGGTCCACTATTTGCATAATTTCCAATATCTTTTTTTCATTTTTACCCGATATTTTCCCAGGCAAATTGGTTAATTAACAGGTTTTTTTTTTTTCTTTTCTTCCTAATATTGAGTGGATACTGTTTATTAGTCCAGCTTTTAAAAATTAAGAGTCTTATAAAACCCAAAATGATGTTATTTTTGTCATGTATTTGTCAAGAGCAACTAAAAATTTATGAGAAGTTATATTAAAAAAAAAGAATTGTTAAAGTAAAGAATAATTTTTTTTTTGTAAAAATTAAATCTAACTTAAAATTAATCAATAATAGGTGAAGTAGTTTTTATTATATTTAATTAACATATTTTTTTTATTAATTTAATAATATGAGATTTTTTTAACTTTACACACCATTATACTTATTAAACATTTAGTCATGTTATGTAAGTTTTTCGTTAACAAACAGACTTAATAAGTCCCAGTGCAACCCAAATTTTCATCTCATGCTTCCAAAGAAGTATGTGAAAATTAGACATATAAAATTAAATTTCAACACAATATTTCTACATATAACATACCACACAATAGATTCCTACAAAGCTACAACTCACTGGATGATTTGCTTTTTGTTATCAAGCACAATGGCTTTGGAAAGAAATTTACATCAGCAATCATATTATACGGGGTAATTATTCAGTCTCTTCTTTTCTGGTCAAAAGCAACAAACCTTCCTTTTCTTAACTTTTTATCATCCACACACCATTTCTCCCCCCCAAAGTCATCCTCAATTAGTGATCGTAAGTTACGGAGAAAAGGTAAATATTAAAATTAGGATAAATCCATGTCCAAAAGCATGGATGATAACTGGCCGGCCGGGGTCCAATACCCAACATGTTTAGCCATACCTTTATAAGCATTGCTTCCAATAAAAATGGTACTCAATTAGATG